ACTATATAATCAAGTTGGTTCCCTATCTAATTCTCCTTATGGCTACCCAATATCCTCAGAATAAAATCCAAATTAAATAACAAGACTTGTTAGGAGCCTTCATGACTTGTCTTCTGCCTACTTCTCAGTCTCCTTTCTCAATACATAGTAGCTTGACTGAATTTTATTTAGTTCTTCAATTTCTCTCCCCCCCCCCCCTAAATTTTCTCCACTTATGCTTATTTATTAGCCTCCTCTACTGACTAAAAGTTCCAAAGATAGGTACCATATATCTGTCATTCCTTCTTTTATTTAAAGAATCCAGCACAGTGCCAAGACCCTAGAAGACATTTATATGTATACTAGAGGCCCAGTGCTTGAAATTCATGCACAGGGGGGTTGTCCCTCAGCCCAGCCTGCACTGTTTCCAATCTGGGATCCCTCGAGGGATGTCTGACTACCCATTTAGGCTCAAACCTAGTAGGACAGTTGGGGGAGATCAGGCCCAGTAGGATCAGGCCTAAATGGGCAGCCAGACATCCATCTCACAACCAAGGACTGCTGGTTCCCAACTGCTCGCCTGCCTGCTTTCCTGATTGTCCCTAACTGCTTCTGCCTGCCAGCCTGATCACCCCCTAACCATCTGCTGCCAGCCTGATTGATGCCTAACTGCTCACCTGCCAGGCTGTTTGCCCTGTCTAACTGCTCACTTGCCAGCCTGTTTGCCCTTAACTGTCCTCCCCTGCAGGCTTGGCACCCCAAGTGCCCTACCCTGCAGACCCAGACACCCCCAACTTCCCTCCCCTGTTAGCATGTCAGCTCTACCTGCTTTCCCCTGCAGGTTTGATCACACCCAACTGCCCTCCCTTGGAGGACTGGTCCCTCCCATTTGCCCTCCCTGCTGGCCTGATCACACACCCTCCCCTGCTGGCCATTTTGTGGTGGCCATCTGTATGCACATGGGAGCAGCCACATGGGGCAGCCATCTTGTGTGTTGGAGTGATGATCAATTGGCATATTACTCTTTTATTAGATAGGAAAGAGGTATGGTGCACAGGAGGGGGTCAGCTGGTTTGCCCTAAAGGGTGTCCTGGATCAGGGTAGGGGTTCCCTTGGGGTGTGTAACGGCCTGGGCGAGGGGCCTGTGGTAGTTTGCAGGCCAGCCATGCCCCCCCGGGGACCCAAACAGAGGCCCTGGTATCTGGGATTTATTTATCTTCTATAATTGAAACTTTGTAGCCTTGAGTGGAGGCCTAGGCAGACCAGGGTGTGCAGGAACATTGGCTTCCTCCATAGCCAGGGTCAACTCAAGCCTCCTGCTCTCTCCAGCTCTGAGGCTGCCGCCATTTTTGTTGGGATTTATTTATCTTCTATAATTGAAACTTTGTAGCCTTAAGTGGAGGCCTGGACATGCCAGGGTGTGCAGAAACCGTGGCTTCCTCCATTGCCAGGGAAACCCAAGTCTCCTGCTCACTCTGTGGCTGTAGTCATCTTGGTTGGATTAATTTGCATAGTTGCTCCTGGTTGGCTGGTGGGTGTGGCTTGTGAATGTAGTGGAGTGATGGTTAATTTGCATATTACTCTTGTATTAGATAGGATATTTGCTAAATAATGAATGGACAGAAACTGAAAGTGGTAGGTCTAAATTTTTCAGCAATATTAATTACCCATGATTCTAAGGAGAGCAGAGAGGGACACATTTGATTCCTCTAAGAGCTTCTCCATAACACATACAAGCCAAGACAGATTCATATTAATGTCTTTAGATATTTGAATAGTATTCTTAGTCTCTTGAGTGGGAAAAATTATCCTAACTCAAAAAAAAGAGTAATATGTAAATTGACTGTCACTCCAAGATAAAAGATGGCCGCCCCCATGTGGTCAAAGATGGCTGCTCCCGTGTGGACACAAGATGGCCACCATAAGATGGCTGACAGGGGAGGGCACTTGGGGGGAAACCAGGCCTGCAGGGTAGGGCAGTTGTTAGGGGACCAGGCCTGCAGTGGAGAACAGTTCGGGGGGAGGGGGCCCCCAAGCCTGCAGGGAAGGACAGTTGGGGGCAATCAGGCCAGCAGGGAGGGCAGTTAGGGTGACCGGGCTAGCAGAGAAGAGCAGTTGAGGGGAACCAGGACAATAGGAGAAGGCAGTTGAGGACCAGGCCTGCAGTAGAGGGCAATTTGGGGAGATCAGACCGACAGAGAGGGCAGTTAAGGGTGACCAGACCAGCAGGGGAGGGTATTTGAGGGCAATTAGGCCTGCAGGGGAGGATAGTTAGGGGTGACCATACTGGCAGGGGAGGGCAGTTTGGGGTGATCAAGCCAGCAGGGGAAGGCAGTTAGGGGCAATTGGGCTGGCCTGGGAGCAGTTACACGTCGATCAGGCTGGCAGTGGATTGGTGAGGGCGTTATCAGGCTGGCAGGCAGAAGCAGTTTGGGGCAATCAGGCAGAGGCATGCGAGCGGTTGGGAGCCAGCAGTCCTGGATTGTGAGAGGGATGTCCAACCACCCATTTGGGCCCGATCCTGGGCGGTTGGACATCCCTCAAGGGGTCCCAGATTGAAGAGGGTACAGGCTGGGCTGAGGGATACTGCCCCCATGCACAAATTCCGTGCAGCGGGCCTCTAGTTAAGATATATAGCCGTATCCTTCTGGTCAGTGAATGAGCATGGTCTCACTCAAGAGAGAGCATTTGACAATGCTTTCTTTTGGCTAAACCTCTACACTTTGCTTCCTAGAGATGAATTAGTCAAGTTTCTTAACTTGTAAAGCAATAGATTATTCTACTTTTTTGCACTGCCTAAGCCCCTGCCTCTATGCTAACTACTTTTTAAAAATAACCTAAGGCACAGAATTTGAACTCAAATCTGACTCCAGAACTTGTGCTCTGAACCACAATGAAATGAACTTGGTAAGCTATATGTCTGATCCATACTACACAGGGTATAGCAAAAGTAGGTTTACAGTTTTGAGTATGCAAAATTTATTCTTGTTTTATTATTTATTAATTATTGTACTATTTTCCATAGGAACTATAAACCCATTTTTGCCCCACCCTTTATATAATAATTCTAGAAAGACAAGGAGCTTAAATTTAAATTCCAAGATTCAGTTCCTATGAAAACCACATCTGTAATAAAGAAAATCTGAGAATCTTTCTGTAGGTCAAAATGATGTTTGAATTTTGCATATCAATTGGAACCACCTTAGTGGTGCCACATTGAGAGCAACTCAATATATTAAGAAAGTTAATGAAAATAGTATAAAATTTATGGTTTTTACCTATATGTTACTAAAATTCCTTCAAGTAAAACTGATCACTTGTTCAATATTAGAATGAAGCCAGATGTAGACTCTACAGGCAGAACAGTTTTAAAGGAATTATGAGAAATGAGCAGAGTTCAAATATGTCTTTGAAAACGTGAAAAAATAGAATATAAGTAACTGTAGTGAGAGCCAATATAATCAAACCCATTTGCCTTCTGTGGCAGACTTCCTTGAGTATTCAGTAAATGCTTGCTATAACATACAACACTTAAAAGACATGCGAATGTATACAGGAACATACACAACCCAGCTTGAGTTATGCAAGTTAAATATAATTTGTTCAATTAACTTTTCCAATTATTATATATGAACTGAGATCATTAAAAATTTTACAATTCAGGCATCCTTGCCTCTGGGTCCTTCTTTCTAAACTTTTATAGAACTACTACCCTAACCAGTTTGGCTCAGTGGACAGAGTGTCAGTCTGCAGACACAAGGGTCCCAGATTCGATTCCAGTCAAGGGCATGTATCTTGGTTGCGGGCACATATCCAGTGGGGGGTATGCAGGAGGCAGCTGATAGATGTTTCTCTCTCATTAATGTTTCTAACTCTCTATCTCTCTCCCTTCCTCTCTGTAAAAAAAATCAAATATACTTTAATAAAACAAAAACTACTCAAATACCTCTATTACATATAACTAAAAGTTCCATAGACTACAAACTCCTATAAAAATACTGGTTATATAATTTAAGTTACCTCTAAAATTTAATGGTGAGAAAAACATGAGAACTTATACAATTTAATCAAGAACTAAACTTTAAAATTCAAATCAAGAAAGAATAAAATCCATCGCAAAGATTCAGTAGGAAGGGTGTGTGTGTGTGTGTGTGTGTGTGTGTGTGTGTGTGTATTTCAATGGAAATATGTAGAGGAAAAATTCAAAAAATTTTACAAGGTTCTATATTAAAGTAGATTGAAATATCATTTATGATCTCAATTACTTGAAAACAGCATTTAGATTACCTTAACCCAACATTTTAAAAGAACTAAGAGACTCAGTAATCTTTCCCATTTCTATAATACACACAAAAGTCTAAAACTTGGAGGGCATGAGAGGATAGAACATTGTAGCTATCTCTAAGTGTATAGGAAAGGGAAAGAAAACACATCAAAAAAAATGAGACTGCTTTAAATGTTCGTAAATATCCAGAAAATTGAGAATGTTTAATAAATACTTGTCCTTGAAATTATCTTCTCCGTCTGACATTTTCTACAAGTACAAACAAAATCTACCATTATAAAAAAATTTAAGGGTATGTTTATTTGACTAATTAATCAGAAAGTACATTCTGAATATTTAGGATGAAAAAATTAGATATCTACTTAACTGACTAGAGTTTGAAGGAGACATGTCAATAAAAGGAAAAAGATTAAAAATGTTCTATTATCTAAAGCTACTTAAAAAGACTGAACTTATTGTTGAAAACTCAAGTTTAGCACATATTTCAAGTAATGCAGTTTGTTTCTCTAACCTGTCGTAGGCACTTACAAAAATGGACAAAGGCAAAATCTCAGTATCTCTGTGGTCTTCCTAGACCATGTTAATTTTGCTTTTTGGTTAAATACAAAGGAACAGAATTATGGAGAGTTCAGCAACAAGTTTTTCATTAGGATATGAAATCATGCCACGAGTTCCAAAAAAAGGGTTAGTGGTATAAATTTGGGAAATAATCACTCATGCAAAAATCAGAAAATACCTGTACCGAGCCACCATGTCTGTCTGCTGCAAGGTGAGCTCTCAAATGGTGGGGATTTGCCTGCTGGGAGTCCCAAGCTGCCCTGTGGTCTGCCGACTGCCATTTATTTAATGCATGTGGCATGGATGGAAGAAGAAAAACCCAATATGTTAAACATCTCATCCTTATAATATTGAAAACAAACGTATAAAAGGAAATTTTAAAACACCCTTACTATTCTGAGTCATAGATGCAATGATACTGCATGTGGAGAGATTTTAATTAAATTGCTACAATTATGTCATGATCAACCATAAAAATAAAATACACTCATAGAATTTTAGAAGTGAAAAAACTTTACATGTCACAGACTCCACCCTCTAACTTTATAAATAAAATTAACAAAGAACAGGGAGGTAAAAATGATGTGCCCAAGAAAGCACATGGAAAGAAGCACGAGTGAACTAGAAAACCATTCACTATAAAAATATAGAAAACTACAGTAGGGGTTCTCATTAGTTTTCTGATGAGGAACAATTTCTAGCAAGGTAAGAAAAAAAAAAATAGTACTTAAATAGTTGTTCCCAATATTCTAGAAAACTTTTCTCTCCTGTTTCTGATCTTTTCTCTCCTGTTTCTGATTGTGAAGATATTATGAGAAAACAGTGTTCTTTGAAAAGTTAAAAGTGCTATATAAAATACTATGAAAATATAACAATTTTTCAAAGTAACAATCCTAAATATGCTTCCTTAATCTTTTTTTATCTGGTTCAAATTAAGGAACCCATTTCCCTGAAATAGGCTGATAATTCTTGATGCTTTTAGATGACTTTGGCAAAGTTGCATGGCAATAACTTACAGACTAATAAACTACTAGCAGAATTAGAAGGATTCGATTCTATGTTTCGGGAAAATATGGACAGGACTAATAAAAAGAAGAGGAGAAATAAATTCAATATTTTAAGTTTCTATGACATGTTGGATCTGCATGAGGTGCTTTATATATGTTATCTCATTTTTAGATAAGTAGTATTATCCTCATTTTACTGATGAAGACACTGAAATGTTAAACACTTTCCTAAATCATAGAGTTAGCAAGGAGTACAGCAAAGATTCAAACTCAGAGTTTACTGCTTTTCCAATAACACTACTTAGCTCCTTAACACAATAACATCATGTTCTAAAGCTTTTGGTGCTCATTACTTTCTTTTTCAAAGTCAAGAAAATCTTGCCATACAGGGCCAAGCACATAGGGAACCTAAGAATATCCTTTAGGAGGAGAAGAGATATTAAAATTCAAGTAGCTACAATGAATAAAAGTTCAGGCACTAAGTTCCCTAAATTAAATTGCACAATTCAAAATTACATACTTTGTGGTATGAAGTATGTAATCATAAAATGATGATGATAATTTTATAATGTCTTTTCATTAAACCCTCCAAACTCACCACCGGAATTTAGCAGATGTGTACCTTAATTAAATAAATTAGGTAAGATAAAATCTGAACAGAATGGGAAAATGAAAATGATGATGCTATAGATGAGACAAATATCTAAATGTCGCCTAAAAACAAAAGGCAACATTTGGGGGTCACTAACCTCTTTAAGATGATAGTAGAATAAACATGTACAAGCACCCAACACTTTCTATAAAATATCAGGATCCACTGAACTTCAAGCATTGACTCTAGGTTACAAATTGTTTATCTTGGGACATAGCGAAGGTTTTAGCCATTTAAAGAATTAACTTTACTTCTTTTGGGATTATGAACTATGAGTTTATCATACAACTTAAACTGTTTACTGCTTCACAGATATTTAAGAATTTGTTTTCTAGATATACAACTTTTTCTATTATGATGACAGTCTGCATATCCAGGCTTCAAGTTCACTATGTAAGCTATATTAAAGGATTTCCAGGAGAGAGGAAAAAAACACTGACTCCCCCTACATTTAGTTGAACAATGACAACATGAGTAACATATGGTTCCCACCCTCAATGAGCTAACAATTTAGCTAGTAAGACATATCTAAAATATGTAGAAAGTTAACCCTTAAAATTTTTAAACTAAAGTTTAATTCAACAACAAAAAAAGAGCTTCACTTACTACAATACCTAACAGCTCAAGTAAAAATGTTCAGAGAATATGAGTTATTAATTTCTTCCAGATTACATTTGAGAAATTAACTCTGACTTATTAAATACCAACTCTGAGTCTTGACTTCTGAGCCATGTCTTTCTATACACAGCATCTATCAGAGCACTTAAGCTATCAACAAGTTGTAATTTATATTTTGAATTAATTCATATGCAAGACCCTTTATCATCCCAATTTTTCTAAAGCAAAATTCTAAAACTAAACTTTTTAAACTGGCTGTACTTTAAAGAATACTGTTAAATATCCCCTTAAAGTAGCACTTCATTTTGTGATGATTTTTAACAAGTTGTGTTTTTTCCTTGGATTTTTCATCTCTTGTTTAACCCTCACTAGAACTTTGATGGGGTGAAAGATGTAAAGGATAAACCATTATCCATCTCTAAAAACAGTTAAAATCGAAAATACTAAAGACACTTTTTAACTGAGTTATAACAAAATTTCTTATGCTAAAGATGGCTCCAATAAAACTTCTTTTGAAAAAATGAGAAAGTGAAAACACTGCTCAAAAATTTCAACAGCTCTCAATCACCTTAACTAAGGAAATCCATCTTCTATGCATTATCTTGGACCTACTCTCTGCTCCTAGCAAACTGAACTGCTTGCTGTTCTTCAAAGTCTACATCTGTAAACTTTTGCTTCATATTTTATACTGTTCATTCTCTCTAGAATGTTCTTATTCCTTTATCTGCCTTTGAAAATTCATCCATTCTTCAAGGCCATCCCAAAAAACACATTCTCCTAGAAAAATCTTTATAGTTCCTACATAGTTCCTACAATGATCTTCCATGGCACTTCATTAAAATACTTCATGCGATGGAACTTATTCTGCTTTGTAATGTAGTTATTTGTGAGTTTATTGTAATAATCATGATAACAATAACACCAACCATGAGAGTTGCGATTTACTGAAGGCTTACTATATGGTAGGAATTAACATGCATTATTTCTCTTTTATCAATGACAGAACTAAGGCTTTAAGAGATTAAGTAATTTGCCCAGGTTTAAACCATATCCAAGTATGAATGAGTACAGAGACTAAGTGAAATCTTAGACATCATTACAAAATATTTCTTATAGGTTATATTGTTTACTTACTTCTGCATTTCTGCAACATGTAAAATAGTAACTTTCAAATACTAGAAACTCAGTAAATAATTTATTAAGCTAGACTATAGATAGAAGGACCAACTGCTATTACAATTCATTCCAATAAGATATCCAAATACTTCTATTAATATAATGTCAAAAGTTGCTCAAAATTATACCAACTTATACCACTAAATTATAAATTTATAATTAAATTAATAGTGAATAATAGGGGAAATATGTATTTTCAATTATTAGTGCGTGTATATATAATATTTTATCTGTTGAAGAAAAAAACATGCATTTCATTCTTTCAATATGTATATACCTGTGTATATATACACTTACTCACACATGTAAATACACACACACACACACACACAAAAAAAAAAAAAAAAAAAAAAAAACAGTCACCTGGACATGACAAAACACCAAATGCACTTATAAACTGTCAGAAGGTAATACAGAAGCAAACTAAGATATTTCTTATCTAAAGGGGCAGCAAACCTGGTTTTTGGATTGTTGCATCTTATCTCTGTGTTGATGTGCTTCTCTGTTTGATGATAGAGCAGGATCTTGCTGAACTGCCCCCACTGGAGTAGGCTGCAACACAATAGCAATTAGCATCAATACAAGCTATTTCAGAAGTTTTACTTAATATAATTTAGCTGTTTAAAAGACTCAAGGAATAAAGTAAAGCCTTAAAAAAAGACATTCTCACGATATATTAAAGCTAACAAAGACAACACAGCTACTCTTTAAACTGTTTTCAGAATATTTAAATGCTTTATCAAATATTTATTTTTACTAATTTAACAACAAAAGATCTTCTAATGCTATCATTTCTTTAAATTATTTTTTCATATCAAAAATATGAAAATATATCTGTTCATGTTTCTCATTTTCAAAGCTAATGTATAAACAGAATAAATTATTTATTAAGGGAACAACTTTTTAAATAAACTATTAAAATCGCATATTGTCACTCAGAAGAGCCTATAAAATTTTAATTTTCAAGTACAATTCAAAATATAAATTCTTTAATCAAAGTTTCTTTGAATTTCCACCATAAATAGCATATATATTCAAATCACTTAGCATTTAAAAAAAATACATTAAACACTTAATAAGTGAATTGTTCAAAAATACTTGAACGTGAAAGGTTAGTGGTTTCAAATATGGATAAAAACTTGTTAACAGTGAGCCACAAATAAAGGACATTTTGTAAAACATTATTATTTATTAAAATAAGATTAGCGAGAATACATATTTGATGTTTCAGAAATTGCCTCTTCAAAAAAATATAATGATGTGTCTCTTTAAGTACTAAGCACCAATCCTACAGTTATAATAAAGAATTTTTTTAAGTTATAAAAACTTAGATACAATTTTAAAAACTTACTCCAAGTATCAATTTATTCCAAGAGATAACAGAACTGCTAGAATAATTAAAATATTTTTAAATTACAAATATTTTAAAAGATGGCTAAACTAAACAAAAAACAAAACTAGCTGATCATTTAAAGTAATCACTAGAATATTAGAACAAAAAATATATATATCTGACACCAAGAATTAAATTAAGAATAAAAAGTTTTAAAAACCACTCTAAAAAGCAGAGTCTAAATGTAGGGTATTTATAAAATTCAAAGGATAATATATTAGTACTGTGTTACCTAAACTATCCGTAAAAGGGAATAAAATGAACCCTTTTTTCAAAAGTATTTGTTTTCAACTCCTTTCAATTGAAGGATCTATACTGTGGAGGAGAAAACACAATAAAATTTCTATACTAATAAAAGGGTAATATGCTAATTAGACTGGGAGACCTTTTCGGGCTGAGGCAGAAACAGTTAAAGGCGATCAGGCCAGACAGGGTGGTGGGTGGGCAGTTGGAGGCAAGCAGTCTGGCAGGGGATGGTTGGGGTGAGCAGGGCAGCTAGAGGGAAGGATAGTTGGGAGTGAGAAGGCTGGCAGGCAAAGTAGTTAGGGGTGATCAGGTAGGCAGGTGAGCAGTTAGAAGCCAGCAGTCCCAGATTACAAGAGGTATATCCAACTGAAGGGTCCCAGATTGGAGAGGTTGCAGGCCAAGCTGAGGGACACTCGCCCTGCACAAATTTTTTGCACTGGGCCACTAGTTTTACTGTATAGCGAAGAGTACTCACCAACTGTTTACCCATCCAGTCATATTCATAATCAAACAGATATCCTTTTCGATCAAACAAGTCAGTAAAAAGCTTTCTTAGGTAGTCATAATCTGGTTTTTCAAAAAAATCTAGCCTTCTTACATAACGAAGATATGTTGCCATTTCTTCTAGAAAGAAAATAAAATTATTTATCTAGATACTCATTAATAAATTATTTAAGTGTGTATAAAGCATACAGTAGAAAAATAAAATTCTATATTGCAATTCAAAATTTTATGAATTTAATTACAATGACATTTTTTTTTAAAAGGGAGGAAATTTCTAACACCTTGGTTATGAGCAGTATTGGAACCAACTGACCTAGCAAAATAATCCTCAGAAATATAACACAGAAGTTGTTTAATTCTTTTAATTTCTGATTATACAATTAACAGTCATGCATTCCATTAAAATTTCAATGTATTAGAGATATGTACACTTTTAAAAGGTCATACTCTCCAGAATGAAAAATATATAAAAATCAATAGGCAAAATGGTAAGCAAAACCATGTTTCAGCATGGAAGCACAAAAAAATCACTGTAGTAAGAGATAGTAGGTTGCACCTAGCTTTTTCTCTGATTCAATTCATTCCTGGTAGCCAATAAGAACAGGATCATGCAAAGCTCAATGGGCAGTGAAAGTGGCACCCAGTAACCTTGATCACATGGTGAAGCTCACTGTTTCACTTTCTAGCTAATTATCTGGTTAATTTACTTGGGCACCATCATTTTTCTTGCAGAAATGTATATAGGCTTCTTAACCTGCACTCAATCTGCCTATACCTAAACTGCTAGTATTAGTAACAAATATTTTTTTTAACCCTCTAGTTTTAGATTAAAAAAGAAAAACATATAATTAAAGTTTGCTGACAATGAATAATATAGCAGACTTGGGAAAGAGCTACCAGAGATTATACTGCTGGTATTATTAAAGTAATAATAATACAGGCAAAGTTATGGATATCAATGTGAGATTGAATTCAGCCTTCTATCTTCAAGTTTGGTTCTCTGTTTTCTCAATGTTATTGCAAGTATTTGAATATATTAGCAACACATTATTCTTTATTTTTTATTCTTATTTCTTAATTGATTTAGAAATCTTAAGTTTTTATTGGTTTGAGTTGCTATAAATCTACACGAAAGCTAAACTATTTTCATAAAGTTCCTTAATATAAAACTAGCCTAAAGGTAATAAGGGTAGCAAGGTTTTACTGTACTTTGAAAACTTGACTAAATCATACATCACATACCTACGTTGAGCTGGACAATGAGACTCAAATGACTAACATTATACACTGAAACTTTATAGTTGCTATTTCTTAGCAAATATTTTTTAAATTCTTTATTGTTTAAAGTATTACATATGAATCTTTTCCCCCATTGACCTCTCGCCACTCACCCTACCCTCTCCCCTCCACCCCCACACATGTCCTCACCGCCCCTATTGACTGTGCCCATGGGTTATGGGTTATGCTTATATGCATGCATACAAGTCCTTTGGTTGATCCCTCTCCCTCTTTTCCTCCAAACCCCCTTCCAAATATTTTAACTTCTTAAAAGTATTTTATTGAAGAAAGCATTACTAAAGATGGGATTTTCTTCTACCCTGTTTCCCCGAAAATAAGACAGTGTCTTATATTAATTTTTTCTCCCAAAGTTGCGCTAGGTCTTATTTTCAGGGGATGTCTTATCTTTCCATGTGCTAGGTCTTATTTTTGGAAGATGTCTTATTTTCGGGTAAACACGGTAATACCATCTTAACAAAGCAAATATAGAAACTGACCATGTGGTCTGTGCATCAAATGCTGACATCTTTTAAATAATATTTTGAGCTCAGTTTTTTAAAAACATGAAAAAAAGGTATTTATAGACTTAAACAATGATTAACAGTTCTGGTCTTTTGTGTATGAGAATATGGATCAATGTGGCATCATTTATTACCTGGAAAATTTTCACATAACATTTCTATTGGTGTGGCTCGTTTTGTATCTCCAATTTTCTGATACCTCTCTTTTAGTGTGTCAGCCTAAAACAGGAGAAGAAAAAAACCTTGAGAAAGTGGTAATTTTAAAATTAAATACTTGGAAGACTAGATTGCAGTATATTAACAATTTCTAAAATTCAACAAGAAAACATAAAAATGTTTACCTTTAAACCTTGCCAAGGAAGACTTCCTCTAAGAAAATACATGAACATATGACCTAAAGCTTCTAAGTCATCTCTTCTACTTTGTTCTGAAATATAAGAAGAATATAAATTTCACTTGCCTCTTCCAGTTAAGAATACAAGAATGGAGAACTAATTCCTCTGTTATATACCAATTAATTCCTAAAAGTTTAGTATATAATACATATTATTGATTTAGTGCTTATATGTAACAAAGTCTTATCTAGTTAAACAATGATTTTAACATTAAAATTATCATACATCTTTGAAATATGCTATATTTCTGGAGATGCTATTGAGGACTTATTTCTCTCCTGAGATATATCTATTCATAGAAACATAAGGCAAGGGGGGAAGGTTCCATGGTCAAATAGAGTCACTGCGTACTAAAGCTCTGTCTTAAAGATTCAGAATGTAACATATGAAAGATTCTGGGAAAAAGCCTAGAGTTTTTCCCTAAAAGATTAATGCTAATGTTAACCTTAAACGTTAAACCCTAAAAATGTCTAACTTCATTTAACCCTGATTTCCTAAATTTATGAGCACAAACTTTCATCCCACAAGCATCATTGATTTTAAAAACAATTAGTATTCTCTATGTTTTTTAAAAAATACTTGTGTTTGATACACCCCAAGATGCATAACCCCTCCAAAAATGTACTGCTAAAAACAATTGTCATTTTCAAATTGCTATTATTGTTTTAGGAGTAAACTGTTGTATAGCACACAACCAAATGACAATCACAATGGGAAGTATTTACAAATATCAGCTTAGTGCATTTTTTCAGTTTTTTAATCACTGAAGTTAAATACTTAAAATAACATAAAAAATGCAGACTAACAATAAAAGGAAAAAATAATACTTTAATAATAAAAGGATGTTCATGTGCAAGATGTTCTATATAAATGAATAATCATACTATCTAAGCAATACTAAATGTTTTTGAAAAGTCAAACGAACATTAAAGCTTCAGAAAAGGTTTTAATTTTTGCTCTATAATTTCATAACATTCTATAATTGTCTCCTGTAACATGTGCTACAGTTTTAAAATATACATTTATGCTATTTTTTAATCAATATCTATGCTCCCACCAAATAGTAAGTCCCAAAAGGCCAGATGTCTGTCTACTTGGCTCATTATTCTCAGACCTAGTATAATGGCTGCCCAGAGCAGGCACTTAACACAAACTATTTAAATATATAAATGAATATTTGGAAATATATACTACCAGATATATGTCCCTTTTCTATAAGTACATGAAAATATCGTTAAAAAATATGCATCAAATCATTAGTAATCAGGGGTATGAGACTGGAGAATAAGACAGGACATTTCAATTTCTCATTTTATATACTAAAAAATGTGATATAATTGGAAATTTTTCTTCTATTTTGTATTATAACAATACTAAAGGTCTAGTGCATGAAATTCATGCATGAGGAGGTTCCCTCAGCCCAGCCTGCACCCTCTCCAATTAGAAACCTCTTGGGGAATGCACAACTGCCAATTTAGGCCCAATCCCTGTGGACATCGGACAATCCTCTTGCAATCTGGGACCCCTGGCTCCTAATCAATCACCTGCCAGCCTGCCTGATTGCCCCTAACTCTCTGCCTGCCTGCCTGCCTGATAATCCCTAACTTCCTCTGCCTGCCTGCCTAATCACCCCTAACTGCCTTCCCCTGCCAGCCTGATCAACCCAAACTATTATCACCTGCTGGCCTGGTCACTTCCAACTGCTTCCTCTACCAGCCTGGTCACCCTCAACAGCCCTCTCTTGTCGGCCTAATCTCACCCCAACAGCCATCCCCCCTGTTGGCCTGATCTCTCCCCCAACTGCCCACCCTTGCAAGCCTGATCTCACTCCCAACTGCCCTCCCTTGCTGGCCAGTTCATCCCCAACTGCCCTAGCCTGCAGGCCTGACCTCACCCCCAACTGCCCTCCCCTGCGGGCCAGTTTGCTCACAACACCCCTCCCCTGACAGCCTGGTCGTCCTCAACTGTCCTCCCCTGCAGGCCTTGTCACCCCCAACTGCCTGCTGGCCTGATCTTGCCCCCAACTGCCCTCACCTGCAGGCCTGATCTTGCACTCAACTGCCCTCCCCAGCTGGCCTGATCTCATTCCCAATGGCCCTCCTCTGCCAGCCTGGTTGCCCCCACCTGTACTCCCCTGCAGACCTGGTTATCCCCCAATTGCTCTCCCCTGCCAGCCTGATCACCCCTAACAGCCTCTGCCTCGGCCCCCACCACCATGGCTTTGTCCGGAAGGAAGTGGGACATCGGGAAGATGACCAGTCTAGCCAATCTAATTAGTAGCATATTACCCTTTTAGTAGTATAGGTAGATTCATAGGATAGGATTGCTTAAATGGAGAGGAAAGGTCTTTTTTATCAGGAGGAGATGCTCTTGGCAAACAAAAATGCATAATCCCTATATCTGGACTAAGAGCCAGCCATATACACTATACTGCCAAACCAGTCAGTCATTCAAAAACCTTACACCCAAAAGTTGTTGCCCTTAAAACCCCTCCTCAGCCCCCACCTTAGGTTCTGCCTTTGCAGTTCACCCAAATAAGGTTCTGACTACTTGGTTTCTATGCCAGCCAGCATCAAAAGCTCCGCCTCGTAGGCAGCCACTGACTCCTCGCAACTTAGTTCTGATTGGTCGGTTTCTATGCCAATCAGCATCTGCGGGCCTGATCCGCAACCTCCTCAGCAGCTGCTGATCAGGCTCTGCCTATATCTCTGGGCCTGATCTGCAGCAGCAGCAGCAGCAGCAGCAGCAAGGTCATTAGGCTTCCAGCCCAACCCCAGGCCAGAGGCTAAAGACCTCGTCCCACCCGCCTTGCCCCGCCCAGCACCCCCTACCCAACCAGCCCCCAGCTTTGCTATGAGAGGAGCCTGTGGGCCATGGGGTAGGGACCTAGAAGTGCTCCATACATGTCCTGGTGACTGGTTGACCATCTGGTCATTTAGGTTGTGATGGCCCTGGCCTTTTATAATGTAGGTAAGCATATGCTATTGAAAACAGCAAACTTTCAAAATAAGTAAAATAGATTTAAAGTTCTTTGTAAAGCCATTAATGGATGAGGGATGTGAGTAACATGGAAAAAATCAGTAATGCCTTTCACTACTAAAATTATATTTTATTAGGTACTGGAAGTATTAAGAATAAAAAGTCATGCCAAAAAATTCTGAAGTCTCGCTGAGAATCATAATCAACCCCTGAATCTTTTAAAAGCCTTAAGTAAGCAGGCCTAATGCCAGAGATTGATTCTTTGGGTACATATGGAATAAAATAAATGTACATTTCAGATATATCTTTTTAATTAATTTCAGAGAGGAGGGGAGAGAGAGTTAAAAACATCAATGATGAGAGAAAATCATTGATCAGCTGCCTCCTGCACACCCCCCACTGTGAATCAAGCCCACAAGCCAGGCATGTGCCCTTGACTGGAATCAAGCCAGGGACCCTTCAGTCCACGGGCCTCTCTAGTCACTGAACCAAACCAGCTAAAATGTACGTTTTAAAAATTGAGATAATTCTAAAGTACAGTCAGACTTGGTAAGCTCTAAAAAGGAAAGTTCTTTTATTGATTTAATTATTTAACATATAATAAAATACACACATTATAGGGGTACAGTTTGATACACTTTAACAACACACATACCTAAGTATCATATATTAAAGGACCTTTTTGTAACTTCCAGTTTGAGGTCATTGTGAATAAAACTGCTATGAACATCCTTATACAAATCTTTGTGTGACATATGCTTTCATTTTTCTTGGGTAAATATCTAGGAATGGATTACTGTGTCATATGGAAATTATAGGTTTAGTGTTATAATGAACTTCTACACTCTTCTCCAAAGGGGTTGTGCCATTTTATATTTCCACCAGCAATGTAGGAGAGTTCCACTGCTCCAGAGCTTGTTCGACGTTTATTAGTAGTACAGCCAATCTTTTAAATTTTAGCAATGCTGGTGGCCATGAAGTATGAGCTCACTGTGATTAAATCTGAATTCCGTTAGAAACTTATTTTTTAACATCTTTCATGTGTTACTGGTTATTCACACATCTCTTTGTTAAGTGATCAAATATTTAACACATTTTTAAAGTTCTATTCATTGTCTTATTCTAAAGTTGTAAGAATTGTTTGTATATTCTGGATATGTCATTTTCAGATATAAAGATTACAAATACTTTCTCCCTCATCGGTGTTTTATCTCTATATCCCTCTCCCTTCCTTAAAAACCCACAAAACTAGAGAATTTCTTGAAGAAAAATTTGAAGAAAAATCTTTGTGATCTTTGGGTAGTCAAAGATTTCCTAGTAAATTGGGCTTCTTTCAAAGAACAGAAGTGTTCATTTTGACACTGACCTCACTCCCTTCAAAAAATTAACCAAAATGGATCACATACCTAAGTATTAACACAAAATTATAAAATTTCTAAAAATAACACAAGAAAGATGGCCTTAGTTTTGGCAATGATTTTTTAGATATAACATAAGTATAATCCATGAAAGAAATAATGATGAGCTAGACTTCATTAAAATTAATAACTTCAGCTCTGCAAAGACACCATCAAAAGAATGAAAAGATAAGCCGCAGACTGGGAGAAAATATTTGCAGAAGACACGTCTTATAAAGGGCTGTCATCTATAATATATAAAGAATTCTTAAAGTTCAAAAATAAGAAAATAACCTGATTGGACTGGGCCAAGACCTTAACAGACACCTCAAAAAAGAAGATATACAGCTGACAAATAAGTATGTGAAAATCTCAGATCATGTAATAAAAAATGCAAATTTCCATCTCTTAGAATGGTGTCTACAACATTGACAACATCTAATGCTGCCAAGAATGTGGAGAGGGAACTCTCATTCATGGTTGGTGGGATTGCAAAATGGTACACCCACTTTGGAAGACAGTTTGAGGGTTTCTTAAAAAACTAAATATACTCTGATCATACAATCCAGCATTAAGATCCTTGGTATTTACCCAAAAGAATTGAAAACTTATGCCCACACAAAAACACACACATGAATGTTTATAGCAGTGTTAGTCCTAATTGCCAAAACTTGGAAGCAATGAAAATGTCCATCAGTAGGTGGATAATCTATAGTACTTCTAGACAATAGAATATTATTCAGTATTAAAAAGAAATGAGCTATTGAGCCATGAAAAAATATGCAGTCTTAAATGTTTATACTACGTAAACTATACCAGTCTGAAAAGGCTACATACTATGTAATTCCAAATATATGGCATCTGGAAAAGGAAAACTATGGAAACAGTAAAAAGACCACTGGTTACCAGGCGTTGGAGGTAGAGAGGATTAGGTAGAGCATAGAAGATGCTTAGGGAAATGGAACTACTCTGTATGATGTTACAATAGTGATACATGTTATTATAAATGTTTCCAAAACCACAGAATATACAACACTAAGAACAAGCCCTAAAGTAAACTATGAACTCTAGGTGACAAGGATGTATCAATGTATGTACTCATACATCAATTATAACAATTGTTCCCCTCTGGTAGGGAATGTAACTAATGCATGTTTGGGGACATGGGGTCTAAGAAAAATCTCTGTACCTTCCACCTAATTTCTATTAATCTAAAACTGCTCTTTAAAAATGTCTACCTTAAAAAATACTATTTAAATGCATTTTCTCTAAACTTACTTAGATAAAGGTATACATCCTAGCACTCTCCAACTGACATACCACTATATAAAATAGCAATCACACAAAAATGATTACCCTGGCCTAGCCAGTGTGGCTCAGTTGGTTAACCCATGCATCAAGAGGTCACCTCTTCAATTCCTGGTCAGGGCACATGTCCGGGTTGCAGGTTTCATCCACTGTTGGGGCATGCAGGAGGCAGTGGACCAATATTTTTGCTCTCAGATCAATGTCTGTCTGTTTCTCTCTCTCTCTCTCTCCCTCTCTCTCTCTCTCTCTCTCTCTCTCTCTCTCTCAAAAAAAAACAAAAAAAAACAAAACAAAAAAAAAAAACTAACATTGCGCCGAAGCCGGTTTGGCTCAGTGGTAGAGCATCGGTCTGCAGACTGAAAGGTCCCAGGTTCGATTCCGGGCAAGGGCATGTATGTTGGTTGCGGGCACATCCCCGGTGGGGGGTGTGCAGGAGGCAGCTGGTCGATGTTTCTCTCTCTTCGATGTTTCTAGCTCTCTATCTCTCTTCCTTCCTCTCTGTAAAAAATCAATAAAATATATTAAAAAAATAGAACTAACATTGGGCTATAGGGAAGTTGTGAGTTCATGTCTCTCAATAAAATGGTGATGAACCTCTGTTGGTTGTTATAAAACAGCTTGTTAATATAATAACCATCAAGAAATGGAAATTTCTCACAACTAAATATAGGCATGCCAGGTTTTAACAAATGACACAATCTTGAAAGTTGACTATCTATCCAATCATATTTTAAATCTATTGAGAAAAGTGTGCTACTGAAAGCACTCCCCACAAACACTTCCTAAACCCAACTTGTGCTTTATAATTTTAGGTGTTTGAAACTTACTTTTCTTAAAGAAGGGCAAATTTACATTTTTCAGGTATTTTCAGACATCTGCAAAGAAAAATACCATGAGCCTATTATCAGGCCAACTGTCAGGGAAGATGCCAAGTGCTATTTAGTTCTGAATGAGCAGAAGCAGAGACATGCAGTATACAGCTTGTAAGTCTGGGGAGACCAGTTAGACCTGGGCTAACCTAGGAGCTGGAAGTTGGATTAGGTGACTTATAAGGACCTGTACAAATTATGGTCATACATTGTAGATACATTTGAGCAGTGATGATGGATAATGTATGTTCCTGTCTATTCTCCCTAAAGAAGATAGAATCTAAAAGCAGAAATTTAAGTTTGGCTTCCTCTGATATGAAAACCAACCATAGCGTAAGACTTAACAATAATTACTGTAAATACAACTTAGAACTGAATGTTTTTAAGAAGTCAGAAAAGTAATTCAATAGGAAAGAATATATTATAAAAAGAACTTCACCCAGCCAGTGTGTCTCAGTGGTTGAATTTCGACCCAACCACCAAGAGCTCACTGGTTTGATTCCATGAGTCCATACTGATAGAAGTCAATAAAGAGGGGAAGAGAAAGCTTTTGCTTACATCAGAATATCAACTAACTACATAATTGATGGAGTTAGAAAAATCATCAATGGATGCTAAATCTAGTGGATAAAAACGTGATGAGGAACAATATGTTTACAAAATCTCAAAGATCTACTTACAAAACACTTTTTAATAACAAAGGGGAAAATAAGAAACTGTTAAGTAGAGACAATTAGCAGACACTATCCTAAACAAATGATCAAGATACTTGAAACCAAGTGACATCATGTACCTCTTGACATTTTGCAATGAGAACATATCACTTCTATGATACTTATGCTAAGAATGCATACCAAAATATAATCATGAGGAAATATCAGACTGACATAAATGGAGAGCATTCTACAAAACAGTCATGAACAATAAAGAGAGGGGAGGAACTGGTCCAGATGAAAAGAAGCTAAAGAAATATGACAAATAAATGATAATGTGTGGTCCTGGACTAGGAAAAAGATAAAAGCTGTAAAAAAATCCTGTGAGGTTGATACTATTTTATTCTTTTTACAAATAAGGAAACCAAAGTCGTATAGCTAGTACATAGGAAAATTAAACAGTACCGCTAAGGTATGTCCTCTTAGAATTCATGAAATATATTAGGCATTTGTTATTTCCTGGCTAACTGTATCAAAGTGCTATATTCTCAATCAAAAATATTTGCACAAACTAAGTTCAGTTAGAATTAAGTATTCTATCATATCCTTTTAACAGAAATAATCAAATGCATCATCCTCACTATATCAATCTTGAACATTTCAAATTATATTTTTTTAAAAGATATAGTGAATGCAAGGATATCTGTTATTCATTTACTCTAGAACAACTAATTTTAAAAAATGTTTTATTAAGCCTGACTAGTGTGGCCCAATGGTTGAGCATCAACCTATAAACCAGGAGGTCACAGTTCAATTCCAGTTGTGGACTCGATCTCAAGGATAGGGTGTGCAGGAGGCAGTGGATCAATGATTCTCTCTCATCATTGATGTTTCTCTCTCTCTCTCCCACTCCTTCCTCTCTAAAATAAAAAAAAATAAAAAAGTATTTTTAAAAACAAAGTGAAATAAATAAAAAATGTTTTATTAAATATAAATAAAAGCTAGATGTGATAAATAAAAATTATAATAAAAGCAGTTGTAACCTGCAAAAATTGAATCATAATAACAAATATTAAAACTCACACCGTTAGCATAGTTACTGAAATTAAACAAAAGGTACACATACCTTTTCCTAAATGTGTATTTATGCTCATATATCTAGCTGTTCCTGTAAGGCTCTTGTGCTCTCTGTATGGTATGTGTTTCTTTGTCTCTGGATCAATATATTCCTTCGCCAAACCAAAATCTATAATATGAATAACTTGCTGGGTTTTATTTCCTGGTCGTCCTATTAAGAAGTTCTCAGGTTTTACATCTCTGTATATCAAGTTCTTTGAATGAACATATTCCATACGAGAAATCTTGATTTTAAAAAGAGAAGGAAGATAAACTTTATTTTAATCTTTTGACTAGCATAAAAAAACATGATAGAGGCAAGACAACTTTCATAATAAAAACATTAAAAAATCAGAAATTGTTTCAACCCTTTAAAAGTAACATATCAATCTATATATATACTCGAATATATATCTGATTATGATTAAAATTCTTTGCTTTTACTATTAATGTCACTTATAAATGAACATGTTTAAATGTTATGAATTCCTTTCAAATCAGTAAGCCTGATTTAATCTACATTTTAAGATAATGCTATATCATAAAATCGAAAAGCTTTACCAACACTAAATCTTGAACTCAAAAATATAGACATATTCACAAAGTTGCAGTTTATTCTTCCTCATCAGTTAAGTAATCAAGCAACTTTTACAATCATATTTTAAAATCTTAAAAAGTCTAAACTGTTAAATAAAAACAATTAACAGAATACCCTTTAGTAAATCTTCTTTTTATAACTTGTTTTCTTTACATTTTCCTTAGATATGAAATATTTTAAAAGATCTTAAAACTTTAAAATGTTCAAATATCTTACCTAATTTAAAAAAACATGCAAATTAACCATCATCTGCTATGCCCACAACCAATCAGAGTAAGTATGCAAATTAACCCAACAAAGATGGAGGTTAATTTGCATATTCAGGCTTGGAGCAGTGTGAAGCCTGCTTTGAGGGGAAGAGAAGCTGTAGAAGGAATTACTAGAGTGGTGCTCTAGACAGATGTGAGGACTTGCCGGCTCTGGGGCAGCGAGGGAGCGAGGATTTGCCGGCTGCCAGGTGGCTGGGGAGCGGTGATTTGGCTGGGAGTGAAGCCAGGGAAAGGAAGGCCTATTCTTGCACAAATATTGTGCAATGGCTTCTAGTAGTCTAATAATGATACAGTACATTTTTATTGTTTTACACATTCTCAAATAATGTTCAGTGTACAAACTATCACAAATAGAACATTACAAATAAAATAAAATTGCATCATTTAGTGGTAATCACAACTGACAATTCAATATAAATATACTATAAACTCAGGTCATTTTAGTTGGTTAAAAAATTTTGGATCATTTAATATATAATATTCTATACCCTATACTTTTAGTTAATGATATATTATGAGCATTTTTCAGGTCATGAAACTTTCTTTTAATACACACTTTGCATTAAAAGTATGTATTATTTTAAATGCATACTTTACTATTATATGGCTATTAACAACCTATTCAACTAATCCTGTTATTTCTATACATTTGGGTTGTTTCCACTAAACCTTTAAGTACAGCTGAATACTTCCATAGGACAAATTTATAAAAGTGGAATTAATGAGTCAATGGGAAAAAACAACTTTAAGACTTCTGCACCACACTTCTATTGACATTTATTTCAAAATTGCCTTAAAATCTTCTAGATTTGTTTTCCCAAAGGTTCACTAAACTTAAATAATTTAGAAAACTTCTCATTAGTGTTTCCTCTTTTTTTCAGCCATCAGAATTTATTACTAAGATTTATAATCAATGTTTTTGATTGTTTTCTAAGTATTCATCTTCTAAATGAAAAGAGCTAGAAACAACTTAATTCTAAAACTGAGTATTCTGATCTTAAAGCAATAAAATATTAATTGTTTCATAAAAATAAAATACTGCACCTGATTCAATTATTTTAAGTTACATGCGTCCTAAAAAGACAACAGGAAAGCAGAAACATTTGTATTAAATTGAATGCTCTGCAAGATAATGTAGCAAAACTTGAAACCTTTAATATAAATTTGTGACTAAAGAACCACACAATTGTTCAAATGACTTCAAAGCACCCTGCTTTACTTACCAGTTGGATAGCTATCATGAGAACTGTTTTAAGAGAAAATGTTCTATCACACAAATCAAACAAATCTTCCAAACTAGGTCCCAGCAGTTCCAGCACCATAGCGTTGTATTTACCACAAGGGCCAAAATAGTAAACTTGAGGTATACCATCTGAGGGGGAGAGGGAGGAAGAAGAAGAAAGGATTTTAACAATTTCCTCGTCTTCGGTATCAAACTTTTCTTCCTAGGAAATTCAATTTAAAAATTAATTTTGTAGTTTCAAGAACAACAGCAGGAGTTTTACATTTCCCATGGATACAATAAAGTTTTCCTGACCCAGCCTTCTCCTACTAGAGTGTAGCCTGGTTACACTTCCACAGCAGCTGCATGACTGAATTACATTACAAACAGTGCTTCATTGTTGGTCTCTACCACCTCATCAAAGACAGGAACTGGGCATTTTAGTCTTATATTTCCATGACCTAGAGAAATGCTTGGCACCTACGAATGATTTGATTTTCACTGAACAAAAGAGTCACTGTTCTCTTTAATAACACTGTGGCAGGCATAACGCTGAGATCAGCCTCCAAGAGTCCCATCCTCTGGTGTATACACCCTGCACAATCTCCTCCCTCTAAGTGTGGGCAAAATTCCCAGGTTTCACTTGGGATCAGGTGTTGTTATAAGGCAAAGGTGATATAATTAATACCCCTATCAGTGGACTTTTAAAGTAATCAAAAGTATTCTGATGGGCCTAACCTAATCAGGTATGTCCCTTAAAAAGAGGGTCTAGAAGTCAGAGAGACCTTTAGATTCAAAGCTCAGAAAAGCTTTCTTATTGACCTTAAAGAAGAAAACTACTATATTCTGGAGTAAATCATATGCCAGGAAATGATGGGAAGGCTCTAGGAACTGAAGGACTTGGTCCCACAGCCATGACGAACAGAAGGAACAGTCAGTGAGCTAGGAAGAGGACTGAGCTTCAGGTAAGATTGCAATCTGGGTTTACATCTTGATTTCAGCCAGGCAAGACCCTCAAAAGAGGACCCAGCTAAGCCATGTCTGGACTCCTGACCCCTGGGAATTGGCAGAAGTAAGATCTACTGTTCTGTGCCACCAGGTACTGAATAATTCATTATTCAACAATACAAACTAATCAAACTTCAAATTTAAAGTCTAAATGCATAGAAATCATCTGTACTTTTAGAGCTATAAGACTCCCAAGTAGCAAATATAAATAGGTGATCAATTTATCTTAACACTGTATTTATCTATTCATCATGAGGAAATGAACTTCTTCCATCTTAAATGTCTCAGTTTTACTTGCAAGTGCTATCAGGTTTTTTAGAAGGGAAAAAATATTTTGAATAAATCCTTCCCATTTTTTTTTTTAAGTAAAGAGCTTGGAAAACACAACTTTATTCTCTGTTCCCTCTGTTGTTGTGAATATTTATTGCAGGGGCATAACAGAAAACATTCAACTAGAAGCTAGGACTACTAGTTTCATAGTTTATCCCAATATTAACCTCTCAAGGAGGCTTGCATTGGCTTATCTATAGTAATAGGAGCCCAATGCACGAATTTATGCACCTTGAAAGGAACTGTGGGCTCTGGGGCTGCGGTGTGCACAGGGGCAGGTCTCAGCCCATCTCCACAGCCAGTGTGAGTGGGGCTGGTGCCAACAGAAGATGCAAGCACCCGGTGGGACTATGGCACACACTAGGGAGCAAAGAATTTTTAGTAACCACTCCAGAGGCTCGCCCCAATGACAGCGACCAGCAATCCTGCCTTGGTCTGGCACCCCACTCACCTTCTCCACCATCCCACCACAGCTGACGCCCTCCATATTTCATGCTCTGCCACCTACTGTTGACACCCATCATGTACTGCATGCATCCCTGGTGGTCAGGGTACATCATAGCAACCAGCTGTTCAGTTGTTCTGCCATTCGGTCTATTTGCATATTAGCCTTTTATTATATAGGACTAGTGGCCCAATGCATAAAATTTGTGCACGAGTGTGTGTGTGTGTGTGTGTGTGTGTCCCTCAGTCTGGCCTGGACCCTCTCCAGGGGATGTCTGACTGGGACCCCTCAGGGGATGTCCGACTGCTATTAATAGTTTAGGCCCGATCCTGGCAGTCAGACATCCCTCTTGCAATCTGGGACCACTGGCTACTAACCTTCACCTGCCTGCCTGCCTGATTACCCCTAACCACTCTGCCTTCTGGCATACTCACCCCCAACTGCCCCCTCCCCACTGGCCTTCTCGCTCCCAAAATGCCCCCCCCAATTGCTGGCCTGCTTACCCTCAACTGTCTCCCCCTGCTGGCCTGTCACCCCCAACTGCCCCCCCCCCCCGCCACTGGCCTTCTCACCCCCAACTAGCACCCCTTGCCAGCCTACTCACCCTCAACTGCCCCCCTTACCAGCCTGCTTGCGCCCAACTCCCCCCCTTGTTGGCCTGCTCGCTCCAACTGGCCCCCCCTTTGCCAGCTTGTTTGCCCCTAATTGCCCTCCCACGCTGGCCTGCTTGCCCCCAACTGCCCTCCCCTCCTGGTCTGATGGCTCCTGACTGTCTCTGCCTTGGCTCCACACCATGGTTTTTTTCAGAAGGACATATAGAAGGTCTCCAGGAAGATCTCCCAGTCTAATTAGTATATTGCCCTTTTATTAGTATAAATTACTAATTTGGATAAGACCAGTGTTTCTCAAATGTGAATCTGAGTGAGGCAGCAGAATATCTGAAGATAAGGAGGTAAGATAATATAATCAGGGCAGGGATGAAGGGAAGGGGACAAGTTCAAATTGCATACATGGCCTCCTCCCAGAAACAGAGCTCCCCATACATGCCCATGTGTATATGTTAGCACCTCCATCTCTCTCTTTCTTTCTCTCTCTCTCTCTCTCTCTCTCTCTCACGCACGCACGCACGCACGCACACACGCACACACAGAACTGCAACTGGGAATCACTACTGTAGTATGTTGTAGTATGTATGAATCACTTTTACCAAAGCTACTCTTATCATATGTGTGTCACCTACCCCTCACATGTATAAAAGTGGATTAGAGGCTCACTAAAGTTTATTCCAACTCTAAAATACTGCTTTTACAAAGCTACATACATTAAGATCCGAGAGTAGCAATTAAGACTTATGAACAGCCCTCAGCTACTAAGCTTTTAAAATTATTTCTACAGTGACATTTTCCTCTCTATACCATGGGAATTTTTTAATTTTAGCAATATCTAATAACTCATTTCCACCTTTTAGTTTGTTGTTTCTTATCTAGATGCAAGGAAACCAGATCATCAAGCTTGTAAGAACTATATATAGAATATAAAAATAAACAGGTCTGAAATTCTTCAATGGAAGGACTGTCAAAGGCTTTTCTACTTCCTCCTGAGTCACCATCTATATTTCTAGTAATTAAAGTTGTTGTGTAATGATCACTGAATAAGTAGCAACATATTTTGGTTTATTAAAAGACTGACTTTTTTCAAATGTTTTCAAAGGTTTCTAAAAATGGAAAACCACTTAAGAAATTTGTCTTAATCAATTCAACAAATGCTTTTTGAGCATCCTCTATATATTTCTGGGACTGGGCTAGACATAACAGATTATGTGTGAACAAGATGCTATGTTCAAGGATGATTTCACCGAGGAAAGAAAGTTTAGGTTATTATTTAGAAAACCATCAATGTCACTCACCATAATGACAGATTAAATGTGAAAAAGCATCAGTTCACCTTAATATTATAGAAGCTGAAAAAGCATCTGACATAGCTCTCAGCAGAGGTGGAATAGAAGGTCCTCAATCTGATAAAGGCATCTAAAAAAAAAACCTCCCAGCTAGCATCAAACCTGAAGGTGTAAGACTAGGAAACAAGAGAAGAATGTCTGTCCACTTTCACCTCTTCTATTCAACAATGCAATGAAGCAAAAAGAAAAAGAAATAAAAGGCATTTTGAAAATGAACAGAGTCTGTTGATTTAAGAAAACCTAAAATACTTGTTCCTATTTGATACCAACAATAAAATTCACGTTTTCAAGTAAAACTTAGAATTTTACAAAATTTATATCTGCCGAGATGAACCTGAAAGCTTCTGCAATACTTAAACAAACCCTTTCTGATAAAACTTGTGACAATACTAATACAATTTAAATTTGGTAATGAAATGTATCATTATTTGAAATAACTTAATGAACCAAATCACCAAATCACCAAAGCATATTTTTACAAAAATATGCACAAGTAATTGATCTATTAAAAGTATGATAGGTATTATTGCGAGAGAGAATAGGAAAAGTTTTTAATAATATGGTTTCTAACTCTACATTGCAACTGACCTTTAAGAATCAATCCCCTGCCCTAACCATTTGTTCAGTGATTAGACATCAGCCCGAGGACTGGTCATGGGTTTGATTCCCAGGCTAGAGCATGTGCCTTGGTTGCATGCTCCATGCTCCCTGCAGGGTGCATGTGGGAGGCAACCAATCCATGTGTCTCTCCTCTCCTCTCTCCTCTCTTCTCTCTTCTCTCTCCTCTCTCTTCTCTTTCTATCTCTCTCTGTCTCTCTCCTCCCCTCACTTTTCTATCTCCCCCTCTCCTTGCTCCCTTCCATTCTATATAAAAATCAATGGAAGCCTAGCTAATGTGGCTCAGTGATTGAGGGTGAACCCCTGAACCAGGAGGTCATGATTTGATTCTCCATCAGAGCACAAGCCTGGGTTGCAAGCTCAATTGCCAGTAGGGGGGCATACAGGTGACAGCTGATTGATGTAATTCATCATTGATATTTCTATCTCTCCCTCTCCTTTCTCTCTCTGAAATCAATAAAAAACATATTTTTAAAAAATAAAAGTAAAAGCCAATGAAAAAACATTCTCAGGTGATTAAAAATAAAAGCAAGAAAAACAATAACCTGTGAAGTTTTGGTATAGTATCAAAAAGATATTAATAATTTGAAAGTTAATTTATTAATCAAGGTTTACAAAGTTGTGAGTTAAAACCTTGTTGATGAGAATATGAACTGGTACATTTTTGGAGGAACTTGCCTTTCCCTTTCCAAAGTAAGCAAAAATATGCACACAGTGAAGCTGCACTGCTTGTAATAGTAAAAAACAACAGGGAACTATCTAAACATCCACCAACCCTGGACTAATTAGGCA